TATCCTTTCCTTGTTTTCTACCAATCCCATTTGGATCACAAAGTGGTGGTGGGAGGTTCTTTTTTGGTCTGGTCTGTTAGGTTCTTATATCTGAATGAGCCTTTCTTTTTGAATGTTTGGGAAATTCTCTGCTAGAATTCTGTTAAATATGTTTTGTATCCCTTTAGTTGCCTATGCTTTCTCAATAACTATCAGGTACAAATTAGGTCTTCTAATTGATCCTGAAGTTGTTACAAACTCCTTTTTTGTTTCTTGGATTTGTTTTATATAATTACTTCCTCCCTCTCTCTCCCCACTTCTTTCTCTCTTATCTATTTTATCTACTCTATCTGTTGGTCAGAGAGAGCTAGGCTTATTCTCTGTAATTACTCTGCTATCCCTCTTAGCACACATACATAGTTTTCATTGCAACTATGCAGGAGGTGCAGATGGGAGGATTGTGATTATGGACAGTCTGGATAAAATATTAATGAGACCCCCATGTCAACCAACATGCCAAGCGTGGTTGGCATAGGAAGTTTAGGAGGATTATGGTTCAAGTCTAGCCCAAGAAAAAACCAGGAGACCCTACCTGAAAAAATAATTAAAACAATGGTTGGGGGCATAGCTCAAAGTGATCAAATGAATTGATAAATTGCTTGACTAACAAGCTTATTGCCTTGCTACAAACTCCTATACTGCCAAATACATAAATAAACAAAATAGCTATTTAAAAATACTTGGATATGAATGTGCAAGTTCTTGTTAAAAATTATAGAATATTGATTAAAGAAATCTAAGACCTAAGTAGAATGAAAACAGAATTGTGTCAGAACTGATTTGGCCCTGAATTCACTTTCTACCATATTAATTGTGTGTATATGTGTGTAAAGGGAAAGAAATTTAGTAGAATGGAGGTGGTAGAAAGTTGCAAAGTTTATTAGATTTAAAGTTAACCAGAAAGAACTGATACACAGATATATCAGTGGAATAGAGTCCAAAAATAGACCCACACTTCTTTGGTCATTTTATTTTTTTAGTACTGGCATCTGAACTAAGGGCCATTTTCAAGGTAAGCACTCGACCACTAGATAAGCATTCTACCACTGAGCCAGGTATCCAAGCAATTTTGCTTTAGTTTATTTTTCAAATAATGTCTCCTGCTTTTTGGCCAGGGCCAGTCTGCCTCCCAGCAGGAAATTGCAGGCATGTATTACTTTACCCAGGTTTTGTTTTGTTAAGAATAGATCTTGCTAGCTTTTTAACTTGCTAGCTTTTTTTTAGACTTTCCTCAAACCATGATCCTCTCATCTCTGTGATCAACTGATTTTTGACAAATGCAAAAGTGTGTGCATGTATGTGTGTGTATGTATGTGTGTGAATAGATCTATAAAATTGTGATTAATCTATATGAATACTTTTTCAACAAGAAACCAAAATAAAACAGTGAAGCTTACATCATGGATGAATCTCAATTTAGTAGGCTATGGCAAATTAAAGGAGCTAGTCTATAAAATGTTGTACAATGAATAAAGCACTTATCAAACATTCTAGAAAAGGCAAAGCTAAATTGTCCTGAAACTTTCACTTGAGTGCCAGTTCATGGTTATGCTGTTTGTCTTCCATATGGAAAATATGCTTTGTTTACATATAAATATATTATATGTTTTTTTTCTTTTAGCTGACCTTCAAACTAACAGTTCAAAGGACTTTAGTACCCATGTGGTTATAAATCTAGAAACAGGTAATAGAAGTCTGAAGGTGACCATAGAAGTGCAAATGTTCTCAGACCTGTACATAGGCCTGGCAACTCTGTTTGAAAAATACTATGCTTGAGAAAATATTTGCTCCTTGTGGAGAAAATCATGCTTATACATAGCTGGAGCCCTGATGGAGATTTAGAAGACTTAGGTGACTCTGGGCAAGTTACAAAGTGTTTTTAAGTTTCTTCTCTAACTTAAAGTAGGGTTCATAGTGCTGCTACTTATTCATTTGTAAGGATTTCATAAACCTTGCAATAATTGTGCCATGACTATATATTAGAAATTATTTAATACATTGTAGAGTGCTAGGAAAATATACTATTGCCATTTATTCTTAAATATAAGATAAACCAATATTTTGTGATATCATGGCAAATAAAGCAAGTTTCAGTCTGGAAGTTGCTATAATTTCTTGAAGCAGTTCACTTTTACTTAAAGCTGCAGTTGTTTCTTTCTAGCAGTAGATGCCAGTAGAGTTCTTTTTTAATAAAAATCAAATTTCCTGAGAATTTCCATAGCAACAGTTTCCTGGTCAAAGTACCATATATAGAAACATTGCTTTAAGAACTAAGCATTCTACTTTCTACAAGGACTTTGTAATTTGAAAACTGTTTTACTTCAACAAAAAGTGATGCCAAATGTACTTTCAAGCTACTTAGCTAGTGAATTTTTATTCTATATTTACTTTGTTTTTAGTATTATGCATAGTTCTAAATAAATCAGTATTAGTGTTCTTGTTTGAAATCTAGGATTTCTTTTTTAGAATATAAATAATTCTGGCTATACATCTGTTAAAAATCAATCTGGCCAGGCCTGGTGGCTCATGCATATAATCCTAGCTATTCAGGAGTCTGTGGGACTTTATCTCCAAAAAGCGGAAGTGGAGCTCCAGTGAGGCTTAGGAACAGTGCCCAGGCCTTGAATTCAAACCTCAGGACTAGCATAAACATGCACTTTGTACACACACATATCAATGGTAGGATTAGTTTGTGTCACTAGCAAACAGATACCTTGAGTATAATACTTTGGGGAAAGCAAATCATAGAGGTGGCTAGATGCAGGAAAAATGAGGTTAATTGCACTGAGTGAAAACAACTCAAAGGATGAATAAAATTTAGCAGATTAATATAGAAAAATCCAATTGTGTTGCTTTTATTATTTTTTTCTACATAGGCAACTTTATAATTGTTAGATTATTTACAATATGGTCCTATCATAAGTGATATTAAAATATTTTCCGGTATTTTCATTCTACTTATACCTTTAAATGATTACTTTATTCATATATTTACTGAGTATGTAATAATATGTATCATTTGTGAATTTAAATAACTCCCAATTCCTGGACATACAGATTCACAGCAGATTTTAACATGAAATCGCAAGATCAATGATAAGAAGAAAAAGAAGTTTTTCATAGGAGCTGTATGGCGGCTACACTGAAGAGTTAACATTTGGGCACGTGCTGGTTTGCTCAAACTAATTTAGCTACTCTGAAGGTTGAGAACTCAATGATCAAGCTTCAAAGCCAGCAGCCTAAGTTGTTGCTTTAGGGTTGGTTTTTGTCTTTGGCAAGCAGATACTTTAAGTAAAAAGAAAGATCTCATGATGTGGACCAAGTGGTAGAGTACCAGTAAACAAATGTGAAGTGTGAAACCCAGAGTTCAAAACCTAGTAAAAACAGCAACAACAACAAAGGTGACATTTATAGTAAACCCTAAGGATGCATAAAATATTTGTCTGGTAAACAAGTCAAAGAAATTCAGGAGTTTTAAACACTTCTTACCATATTGAGTCAGTCCATGCTCTGGGTTTTTATGAAACTCTACAGATACTATATTTGTGTGAAACACTGTCAGATAGTAATTATTATACACCTAACATTTATTCAGAAAGCTATGTTTAACAAATTTAGTCTTATATTGTTGCCTGTTTGTTTAGATGAATGTAATGTATTGTTATGTACAATATTCACAAATGAATAGATAAATTGTAAAGTTCCCTAGTCAGGGTTTTCACAGTGGACTTTGTCTGTGTCTGTCTTAATTTTATTATATCATTACGCCCATTTGTTTTATGTGTCATTACTGTTTCTATTTCAAACTGTTTTTCATAGTTTAATACTTTGTAAACTATTTTAACTGTGTTAGCAAACAGTTAAAACAATTTGTCAAAAAATAGGCCAGAAATGTAGACTGATACATATATATTTTTTAAGATTTTTTAAAAGATCTTTTCCTTTGGGCTGTATTCATTTCCTTTCCCCTCCCCTCCCTTCTCCTTCCTTCCACTCCTCTACACTTCCTTACTCTCACCTCTATTTTTCTTACATCCCTCAAAGAGAAAAGATAAATTTCTTAACCATTAATGGGTATCAAAAGGCAAATACTCATGTTTGTTAAATGCTACAGATAACATTCTTTCCTGCAAATTGGTCATAGCAAACCTTATTTAATTTTAGTTGAGGGATATTTTCCTAGGTGAGATCAGCAAATCAGTGGATCAAGTAAACAGTAAAATTAACATATCTCAGTCAGTTTTTCTCTAAATTGAATGTCTTGATTTGGCTGGCATCTTGCATATTTATAATTTATTATTATCTTATGACTTATGTAATTTCAATCTGATGTTTTGTAGCTCTTCACATTTAGGAATGTGTTAAATATACCTTGATAGTCAGCTGTCAGTAGATGAGTGTGATAAAGCAGTACTGACATGCTGAGTTTCTGTCATCTCTGTTACATTCCACTTACCTCAAGTATTAACCAAATTCAGTTTCCTTTTGAAATGATCAGTTCAGGTTTTTCTTAGTTTTAACATATGTTATCAATTTGCTTTGTAACAGTTTATATATATATATATACATTCCATACCGATTTTTGAGAGAGAGTGAACTGTTTATGAAGATTGATAAAAATCCATATCCTAGTCATTTCCTGGAAAAAATAAAACACTTGTCTTTTTAACCTGTTTTGTCTAGAGGGTGTGTTACCTTCAGTTTTTTACATAGTGGTATAATACATGTTTAACTAGTTTCCCTTCTAAATAATTTTAACCATATGTATCTGTATAATTAATGTCTTTATGAGTCTTTGTGTTAATATAAAAATCACTCAAACATAGAACCCTTTAGGTAGATAGTGCAAGTTTTAAAAATTCCCATTTCTAGTTGAGATGAAAAAAGTTTTGCTAAGACAAGTTTGGTAATATGCAGTTTTATATTAACAGGAAACAGAACAGCAGTAGTGGTTTTGAATGCCCTGCAAACAGGAAGTTTGGCACATGCAGTGCTCTTAGCTTCTCTGTAAGAAGTTGTTAAGCTCCTTCTGGAATATTTTCAGTTACTTTAAGGAAAGTGTAAATGCCCATGAATGGCAGCTTACAGAGAACTACCCTGTAACCAGTATACAGGTACCTCTACTGCTCTTCAGAAACTGGAAGGCTTTGCTAGCCGATTATTTCATAGACACTCTAAAGGTACTACCCATGATCAGAAAACAGCTCTGGAAAATGACAGTCTGCATTTCTCTGAACATACTACCTTATGGGACAGATCAAGTAAGTTCATTTTTTTAATGATATATTAAACTAACAGCCATAATCTTAATTGAGGTTTTAGAATCAAGCATAAAGAACTATGTTTTGTTTCTTTGTGATTAGTCCAAGTATATTTTGCAAGATGAAGTTGAAAGAATTTCACAAAAACTTGAATATCAGTTGAGCTGAACCATGTATTTCATTATTTTGTTTCATGTATGACTACTTAAGTTTACTGTCAATGAGAACATTTTTTGTAATATTCTTACATCATTTCTAGTGTATGTCAGTTTTTTTTAATTTTTTGCTGCTTCATAAAAATTTAAAAGGAAAATTTGATACGTTTATATTTTACAATTTCTTCTCTTTATTAATGTTAAAAAGACAAGAAGACTTTGGAGTTTACATTTAAATTCCTATTATGTTTGCTAGCATTGATTTTTAAATGCATATGTGAAAGTTATTTCAGTTGTTATGAGCAAGATTTTTTAAACTGAAAGCAGATTATTCTACTAAACTCATGCTTTTATAACATAATATATAAATATTTCATAATTGCAATTTTGTGATATTTTATGAGTGTGTCTATAAGGGGGAAAAGTTGTTCATGTTTGCATTGTTTATTTTAGGCATATTAAAATGTTTGAGAATTACTGCTTGCTAAAACAGTGATATGAAACCTTTTTTGGTAACATAATTTTAAAAGAGAAGTTTCACATATAAAAAATAACTTTAATCTCACCTTGGACCCTCCCCAAGTTATTTTGTGACTTTCATGAAAAGAACAGTAGAGTTACCTTTGGCACTCTTGCCCTGTTGTTTCATCAAATAGCACTAGAGTTATAAAGGAAAACTCACTAAAAATATTTACAAGGACTTACTCATATCTTAAGTAGCACCAATTCTGTAGGAGTTTATTTGAATTATTGTTTTATTATATTGGAATTTTAAGTCTTTCCAAGCTACTTTAATGAGCCCATAATAAAGGCCTATATATGTGAAAAAATTCAAAAAATTATTTATAATTAATCATTATTGCATAGTAAGTTGACACATAACAAATATGTTATTAAGTTAATGAACTGTGGAATAGTCAAGTAATGTACTTTATGGAAATTTATAGTGTAACAAAAGCTTTTTATTTACTCTGCTTCTCCCCTTCTGTTAAATTATAGTCTCCAAAATTATTTCAGAAATCATTTCTAATACATTTCAAAGATTTTTTTAATTCCATGAGGAATTAATTAATTTCTGTTTTCTCTATGTTTAATACATAGCGAGAGTTTAGTAAGTTTTAGTTAACTTGAACAAATTCCAAAGGACTTTAATAATTAAAAGTTAAGTTTGAACTAGACTGATTTTTTTTTTAATGTATGGGACCTGAGTGTCTTCTGAAACATATTTTAAAGTCAAACAATGGTAGTAGTATCATGAGCCATGATTCCTTTTCGAAAAGCAGACTGATAAATTGCTGCTAACATTTTTCTTTTCTGTGAAGTAAAAACATAGATAGAGTCCTTATACTTGTGAATAATAGTCATGAAATACGAAATAGTTAAAGAGCAACTGCAGTTCATTACTCATCAGTCCAGTCTCTTCATACTAAAAATACTCTTAATAGCCATGACCAGTTTCATGTAAGGAAGCTCATGTTGAACATGCACTTTGTTCACTGTGGTGGAGCATGTCCAAACAGAAGGAGAGTGAGCTGGGAATCCTGCCCTTTAGGAATTCCAGGCCTTATTTTTGGGTCAAAAGTACAAGTTTTTATATATTTAGCAGTGAGTCAGGGAAGGAGTTTTGACTGTATGAAGCTTTCAAACAAAACATATTGTTCAAAGTTACTTAAAGCAATTTCTTGTCTGACTTGTTTAACAAGAAAAAGGAATGCAAATATCACCTGGTGATAAAATTCTGTGAATATAATCATTCCAAAGTGCTATTTTAAGAGGCAACTAAATGCAGAAACCACATGTGATTTTTGTAAAAATTAGAGTCTTAAGCTATTGAGTAAAGATGAATAATCAGTTTAGCTAGATATGAAACTTAAACCATAATCAGCTTTTTTCTAATGGTATGAAGTAGAGGAAACATACACAATAAAGGCCACACAGTGATTCCCAGTTGTTTCATCTGTCACTATTAAATTAAAACACAATTGCTATTTGATAGCATAAGTATATAAAAGTTAAGTTTTGAGGAAGAAATAAATTAATCGCATCAAATAATTTACCTTGTAGTCCTGCCCACGAATGGACAAGCTGTTTTTCTGGTAGATGAGTTTTAGATTTAAATACTCTGTTGAACAAATAAATAGCTCTTAGAAAGCAAAAAGTGATTGCAATAGACTATTGTGCCAGTTTCACTTTTTGAAGTAAATCTTTCAGATAGTTTACTTGTTTTGCTTATCTACTTTGTATCATTCTAGCTCTCAAATTATAGACTTTTCACATTACTTTCCTCTACTTTGTTCATGTGCAATTATTTTTAGGGTTTAATTTGTGGGGCTTGAACTCACAGCCTGGACACTGTCACTGAGCAGTTTTGCTCAAGGCTAATACTCTATCACTTTGAGCCACAATGCCATTTCTGGTTTTTCTGGTGGTTATTTGGAGATGAGTCACACAGACTTTCCTGCCCTGCCTGGCTTTGAACCACAATCTTTAGTTCTTAGCCTCTGAATAGCAAAGATTACAGGCATAAGCCACCAGCGCCCAGCTTTATTATTGATAGCAAGCAATTTTTGCCTTATTGGTTACAGTCCTTTTGAGTATTTACTATATCACAGTTCATACACAAGGTTCTGGGGGGAAAATAAGATATAGTTTGCAGGCTCACAAACAAGAGTTGGAGGAACAGCCAGCTACAATGGCTTGTGTCTGTAATCCAGTACTAAGGAATTAAAACCAGCCCTGGTCAAAATAAGTGGATGTGATGATATTTGCCTGTGCATATATCCTATTCAGGAAGCTGTAGGTAAGAGGATTACAGACTGGGGCTAGCCTTGGGCAAATCTACAAGACCCTGCCTAAAAATTAGCTAAAGCAAAAAAGGATTATGGCTCAAACATTCAAGCCCCTACATTGCCAATAACAATATAACTAACTAAATAAATAAATAAGTATTGGATCAGAATCTAATAGTCAGGAGTAAGGGTATTTTATTTTTTAGAAGGTGCTAGGGGTATTGGGCAAGCATTCTATGTGTGAGCTATGTCCCTAGCCACTAAAGTGTATTTTTTTTTAGAAGTGGAAAATACTGCGATACAACCTTATTTTAAAGAGCCTAAAGAATTTTACCTAGCATAATAGAGAATAGGATAACTTGTTTTACTACTGGGAAATGCATGCAGCTGTCATACATTTTCTGTTTGTGCAGAGTGCTTTATTAGAAACAAAGCTTTTGAACCTACTATGAATATGGCAAGGAATAATTAGAGAATAGACTCTCTTTATAACAATACTTGTTAAAATACTTCGTCTGAATTTCCTGTTACTACTGCTACCAATGGCCAGATTTGCTCATAGTTAAGACTCCTCCTAGATTTCAATTCCGACATCGTCTCCTAGATATTAATGCTGCCATCATCTATTTACCATTTTTCCCCTTATTTTTACAGTATTGGGATTTGAACTCAGGACCTCACTCTTACTAGGCTGGCACACTTGTTCTAAGACAGGCCTCCAGCCTTCTTTCATGCTTGTTATTTTTCATTTAGAGCACTATGTACCAGGACTGCTATCTACCTATTTTAGCCTTCCAGTCATTGCTGGGATGACAAGTTTTGCTGTCATACCGAACTTCTTCCACTGGGATTGAGTCTTGGGGACTCTTCTGTAAAGACTGGCCTGCAACTGCAGTTCTCCCAGTCTCAGCCTCCCCCGTAGTATAGGCTGCCTGGCACAGATGTCAGCTGAGAAGGCATCTCAAAAACTGTTCTGCCTATGAACCTTAATCCTCCATTTCTTGGTCTCTCAAGTATCTAGGATTATAGGCCTGAGCCACTGGTACTTGGCTTATCTTTTACTTTTAATAAGACTTGTTTTATAGCATTAAAATTATTTTACTATCTTTGTGTTACACGTGTCACCTATGATTTTTGAACTTTATGAAGGTATAAGAACTTGTCAGTTTATTTTAATATTGCTAGCATAATTTTCAGTAATGTTGAATTGTATTGTCATTTAACACATTACAGACTGACACAGGCTTCCTCTAATTTTTCCTATTGTGAAATTGTGATAAAGGCCTATGAGTTTTAGCCTAAAATGGCAAATACTGACCTGACCCTGGTGAACACTATATTGCAGATTTTACCTAGGTATTTTTGGTGTTACCCATGTGTTTTGTTTGTTTTTTAAATAAGATTTGGAGTAACCAACGAGCTTTATAGTGAAGCTAAAGTGATTGTCATATTAAGTGATTTGAAACTAAAAAATATTTCTCTGGGCTATGTAGCAATATCAAATACAACATTAAGTGTAATGGAAAACCTTTACCTGTTTTCACTTTGCAGCAATAGCCAGAGGATAGGGTTGGTGGAAAAGTGTGTGTGTGTGTGTGTGTGTGTGTGTGTGTGTGTGTGTGTGTGTACTGAGTTCAGCAATCATTAGCATTATCTGAGAGCTTGTTAAAAACAGAATATCAAATGTCATCAAAGAATATCAAATGTCATCTAGACCTCTGAGTCAGGGTATTCATTTCAACAAGATTTCTCAGCTGATTCATATGGACGCTGAGGTTTCAGAAGCACTTACTCTATAATAACATTTTAGACTGAGTGCATGTATTTCTTCAATAAGGAAATTTGGAAATCCAATAGAAGAATAAAGAAAAGAATTGAAAATTGCATAAAATCCTCTCAAGAGATTACCACTGTTAATTTTTTTGTGTTTTTCACTTTATGCTATTATATTAAAAATACTGGGGGAAAAATCAACTATACCCACAACTGATACACACACACACACACACACACACACACACACACACAAATGCTGGTAAACATCCTTGTGGCTAAG